GCTACGAAGGAACTACAAAGGAACTCACTCGCTCTCTCTCTCTCTCTCTCTCTCTCTCTCTCTCTCGCTCCATCTCTATCTCCACCTCCACCTCCGCCTCCACCTCCACCTCCAGCTCCAGCCCCAGCTCCATCTCTCTCTCTCTCTCTTTCTCTCGCTCGCTCTCTCTCCGTCCACATGTCTACAAATCTGCAAAGGATGCATTGGAGACTGAGATGTTCGAGATCCTGACTTCGCGAGAGGTCGAGCTGGGAAGCTTGCTTGATCAGGCACGCAATGCGTACAGAATCGAAGATTCGATATGTAACCCAGACGAAGTGAGCTGTGAACTTCTTGACACAGGTTCGGATGGAATGTAGCCGGGCTTTGGAGATTGCAGACAAGCGGGTCGCACAAGTGCTGAAGCAGCGGGAGGAGGAGGTGGCTTGCCGGCATGTTAGCCATCCCGAACCTGCTAATATGCCAGCTTGCTGACTTGGATATTGCATGATTAGTTGGACTTCGTGAAAACTGGTGTCAACCCGCATCCCGCCAGGAAGAGAGAATGCGCAAGCCAAAAGAAACTTTGCAGGAGACTGCAAGACCGCTTCGAGCATGGCACGTGGCCCTTCTTCTGTTCCTGCTGAGTAGGAGATGGAAGAGATGCTGGCAAGCTTTCGCCAGAGCTGCTTGGAGTTCGAGGTGAGCAATGGTTGCAATGATTGCAATATGCGAGTCCGAGTTGGTCGCAGGAGCTCGGCGCAGAGGGCACGGTGTCTCCCGACCAGGCAAGAGGCGGCGCTGCCGATGTGGCGCGACTTGCCTCGTGCGCCCAGGTCAGCACTGCAGAAAACAATTTCGAGGAGTTCAGTTCGAAGGCCAAAAAGTTCCGTGACGAGCTCAAGGCTTCCGTCGCATCGCAGCCGCAGATCCCAGCCCATCGTCCCCTGCTCGAAGGAGTTCGTGCAGGAACACTCAAAGGAATTCCAGAATCAGACGCTGCCGCTTGAAGTACGACAGGGCGGGAAGCCTAAGCTCCGAAGGCAGATCAGCAGTGTGGTCGTCGTCCATCTCAAGCCACGTGCTCAGGCTGGCTCGAAAAGGTCCGCACGTGTGCCACAGCCAGTAAGGAGGTTCGTGCTGGAGACCTGGTTTGTTGCTATGGGTCCTGTTCCTGTTGAAGGCCGATGAGCTTCTCGAGAAGAGCCGCACTGCTCTCACAGAGGCAAAGAACCTCGCAAAGAAGGAGTGCTCATAACTGAGTGCTTGCCATGGCACTCGATCCTGATAGACATACTGACATACTTACTCCGTCTGTTGGGTTTTCCGGCTTTTGATGCCTGCAATGAACCTCGACATCGGCAACTGATTGCACTTACCTGTCAGAGAACCCGCTGTCCTGACAGAGCAGCGTCTTTGGGTTCCTGGTCTGCCGTCCCCGATGTCGCTTCGAGGGATCGTCAGGCAGGTAAGCACGGCGTGCTCAGGAGTGCTTTGCGAAGGCTCGCGGTTGTTGGAATCGGATAATGTCGCAAAGCCGGACTGACTTGTGCACCTAGAGCGAGCCGAACATCGCAAGCTCTTGTATCATCAGTCATTGGTTTCCCAAGATCTGTTGGCTTCAATCCGGCAAACAGAGCCTGAAAGGTCCAACATCTGAACATCCGAGGAGAGACTTGTACGATTGCTCGGCGTGACTGTGTCGCCTCTGGGTTAAGCCATTGAGCCATCTGTGTCATCATGACAACCATCGTCTTGTTTCCTCGCTTTTGACGCAGTTTTACCGAGTGGGCATGCTGCAATGACTGCAGGAACTCCTCAATGCAGCCAAGACACGCTTGGATGCGAAGCTTCAGGAGGTGCCCAAGGCTTTTGCCCAGGCCGTTTGATGTCTTAAATCTGACTGAAGAGCAATAAGCATGGATTTCGACGGACGTGCAGATCCTTTGCAACTGTTTTGGGATTCGGCGTGCAGTTGGCAGAGTAAGATGTTTCGTGTTTTGATGATGCAGCACAGGCCCAGCAGCTTGTAACCGTGTGCGAGCAGAAGGTGCCTGCCGGGAGAAGGATTAGGATACCATGGCTGCAAAAAATGCCTTTTGTGCTTCGCTATGTTCTCTGAACAGGCAGAGCCCTTCGTCGGCATACCCAAGCACAAGGGTAAGGAGGAGCACGAAATGCAGTCGATTGCCAAGGACGGCTGCAGATCTGGGAAGTTCTTCGGCCCAGAGACGTGTGCAGCTTTCGCAGGTATAAGCAAAAGTCCTATTTCCACAGGAGCTCGATGAGATGGTCGGCTCAGCCAGCAATGGCGTAAGCTCTGCAAGAACAACGCTAAGCTCGCAGTCGACGGATGTAGAAGTGGAGGACGAGATCAAGGAGGCCTGCATGATACCGTCTCCGCATGGGATGGATTCTGTGAGGCTTGGAGTTTTGCTTCCTACCCTGTGTCATAATGACATCGAATTCTGCAATCGTATGAGGGAGTGCCCTGAACAAGCTTCATGGCTGGCAATTTCAGGGTTTGTGCTTCTTCATGATCAGCATTCGCCTGCGGTCCCTACAACCACGTGACGCCGAAGGATATTGCGCAGTACATCCAGGATCAGACCAAGCGGCTTCAGAGTCTTGTTTCAAGCGTGAGAGTTGCATCTCTATAGACTCTACAGAATCATGGAGTCTGTAGATCTCAACAGAACCGGCCGCAAGGTAGCGTGCTTCTTAGGTTGAAAGACAGACTGAGGATTCGCTTGGGCCAGCTGGACAAAAGAATCTCAAGGGTCCGAAACCTCGTGTCCAACTACCAGCGGCTTGCATGGTATTCAGACACCCTTCGTCCTGCCTTTAGTTGCTGCGGTCCGAAGCTTTCAGGAAGGATCTCCAACACGAGAAGAACAGCCAGATCATCCGCGAGATGAAAGCCAAAGCCTTCGACTTGATCGAGGTACGTTCAAGAATGTTGAAGACGGCAGAGTCCGGGCTGTATGTCCTGTTGGACGCACGGTTGAGGATTCTGCGCTGAATAAGAAGGCAGAGGAGGCTGGCTGCACGGACGTTCAGCTATCGCTGAGACTCTTCTTCTTCTTCTTCCTATTTTTCTTGTGGTGATGATTTTTGTTGTTGTTGGTGGTGGTGGTGTTTAGGTGGCAGTGGCTGCGGTGGTGGTGGTGGTGGTTGTGGTGGTTGTGGTGGTTGTGGTGGTTCAGGTTGTGGTTGTGGTTGGGTTGTCGATGTGGGTTCTTGTTGATGTAGTTCTTGTTCATGTTTTCGTTATTATTGTTTGTTGTTCTTGTGCTTCTTATTATTGTTCTTCTTGTCCTTCTTGTTCTTATCATTGTTCTTGTTGTTTGTGTTGTTGTTGGTGGTGGTGTTGGTAGTGATGGTGATGGTCGTGGCGTGCTGGGCTTGTTTGCTTGCTTGCTTGCTTGGCCGTTTTTGGTCGATGTGTGTTCATTCTCATGGCGAGTATTTGCGTTCTGCGTTCTGACGGGCCAGACAGCATGAATGAACATGATGCACCTGACTGCTCCTACGGATTGCGCTGCTTCTCAGCTAGCGACAGTACTAGGCCGGTGCTGCGGTCAAAGATGCTGAAAGCCAGTCAGAAAAACTCAGCAAGATGGAGACGATGGCGGTGTCCGAGCTGCAGGCGGGGCATGAGGGGCTAAGGCTCCCGTCCAATCTTTGGCTTTGGCATTTGCTGCCTGGCTGCCAGGAAGAGCTGCAAAGCTTGGAGGTCAGAAGAGACACTGATCCGGAACTGCCTGAAAACGCGATCCCCCATTGGTGAACCTGCCTTGGCCAGGGCAAGACTCAGGCGGCTCGGGAGAGCTTGGATGTCGTGACCCAGATGCTCTGCCCTGTCAAGGTCATCGGAACCGCAACACCATGTTTCTGAGCCCCTGCCATCACGATGCAGGACGTGGATGAAGACTTGAGGATGACCCTCTGCAAGCATGTGCTGTCCAAGAAAACTAGCATCTTGCCTCCATTTTGTATGCAGCCACCAAGTGGCAGAGTGGAGTTGGGCAGGCGCTCCTTTCACAGTTGGGTTCTTCTGCCCGATTTTGCTCTCGAGGCCTCAAGACGAAGTTGCTCTTTCTTGAACAACGCCTGAAGAGGATGAAAAGCCTGGTCGAGAATGGCCGTCTCGTGCACCTCGGCAAATGCAGCGCAACAGAGAATCGCAGATGATTTCGCCATACGAAAACGTGTGTGCCAGGACCACGCTCACATGTGGAAATTCGTGTAGTTTCCGGCTTTACTGAGAGTGCGTCGGCAGCGTTAGTAGTAGTACTTGTAGTGGTAGATGCCAGCAGCAGTAGTAGTAGTAGTCGTCGTCGTCGTCGTAGTAGTAGTAGTAGTAGTAGTAGTAGTCGGGCCGCCCAAGGTTAATGAGCAATGAGTGCCACATGCCTCACAGGCCGAAGCCTCCCTCTGCCAAAACTCCAAGCTCTGAGTATCTCAGAATCTCAGATCAGGCACCTCTCAGAAGGCATTGGCAGTGTAACTCAGTGGATGTTTTTGCATACCCTGCAGCCAGTGCAGGGCGCAGGTTTTGATAAAATTCACTTGATCGGCCACCAATACGTCCTTGCTGCAGCTCGTGCTGCTTTGCCGGACTGCAAGAAGTGCTCTCTAGAGTGCCAACTCACTGCATTCCACTGCTAGGGGTTCGCGCGGGCGGTCTTTGGGGATCCGGCTTTCTGGCACCTCTCTGTTTTAGGGAATGTTTGATGGCACGGTGATTCTCAGCACATCGCCTTAGCCGAGTAGTTTAAGCACCCAGGATCAAGCAGAAAGAGGTCAGTCGCAGCAACGAAATCCACCTCAAAGCCTTGAAGGTGATGGATTTATTCCGCGAGGACAGCTCCTGACAGCTGCTCGAGTCCAATTGCTTAACGTCCCCCGCCTTTCAGGACCAGAGCGGCAAAGGCTTGGAAGGGCTCCCCTCGCAGGCCGGTTGAAATTTTGATTTCATGCGCCACTGTTGAAGCGTACTGCAGCTGATTTCGAGAGGACATTTTCGCCATCATGGATGCTGATAAGGAGACGAAAGCAATAAAGGATGTATTGCAAGACTGCTAGACTTGGACGGCGATGTCAATGTGTCGAGAATCAGATACTTCTATGGCTGTGCATGTCACAGGTGTGCTATCTAACGCAAGATGTCGCACGGATCCATGGCGCATGTGCGCCAGGACGGGGTCATTGGCAAGGATGACTTCCGCAACTTTTTCACCGAAGTCCTGGAGCTTGCCGACGAATCTTGCCAAGCAAGATGTGCGCCAAGAACTGCGAGAAACCGCTCAGAGAGAGTGATCTGTCAGGAGACGAAGAGGAAAGAGTTTCCCTCCTTGGAGGCTCGAAGACGCGAAGAGAAGTGCCCCTTAGTGCAAGCGTCGCTTAAGAAGCGCATCGCCGCGCATCACCGCGCATCGCGTGCACCGCGTGCATCGCGCAGGAGCTGTCGGAGCTGTTTGAGCGGAGTCTCCTCGAGGGCGATTCCGGCCTCCCTTTGAGCGTCTTCGAGCGCCTCCTGATCCGCTACGTGCAGGCCCGGGCAGTGGCCCCGCCCAGACTGAAAGAGTCGCTGCATGTGCTGCAGGTGGTGAGGCCGACGACGATGACGCAGCACAATGAGATCATGCTTGGCGAGGCGCAGTGCAAGCAAGCAGCGTGGGCGCATGGAAGTCTCAGCCCGCATTTGTTCAGACGGTGAGGGAGGTGAAGATGGGCGAAATCCTGGAGGTTCTCCAAGGCGGCTTTGCGTGAGCTACGCAGGTAACGGGAAGGACGGCTATAGCTCTTCTCCAGGCCCCGTCCTGTGTGGCCCGATGAAGCTCCCCCGACTACTTGTTCGGGCAACCTCAGACAGTGCGCTCGGTTGGATCACGATGTCCGGCAATGTCAGAATCCAAGAAAGTACGTCAGCTCGTCTGAAGTGTTCTTCGGTGGCCCACTGCACCGGCTAAGGCGGGCTCGGTGTTCTTGAAGGAGCTGATTCGTAGATAGGCAGTGCAGGCTGAACACGCAGAAAGAAGAATTCTGCCTCCGCTTCTGATGCCGCCACGGTTGGCAGACTTCCAGACCATCTTACTCGTCCTTCGTTGCAGTGTTGGAAGTCCCTTCGGCCAGACATTATGTGAAAGCTCAGGTGACGCTCACGTCTTGGCTACCCTTCGCCGTCAGGCAAGTAGCAACATCGGCTACTGTCCCTGCCTCAGAAAACGGGACGGCTCTTCCGCCAGGGAGCTTGAACTGTCTTGCCGAGGGTGTATGGAATTCGCGACGAAGCAACGAAGGTATGCAACTAAACCAGATGACCCATCCCGGCTTCGGCAGCAAATTATGGACACATTGCTGGAATTGAAACCACAGCCTCAACTGGGCTGCAGTCTGCAATTAAACCAAGTTCGACGATTGCTTTAGCCGTCAAGTTTCCTTCTCAGCCATCACTGGCGCTCACCACGAGCCTTCGCGCACACCGTAGCGAGCACGCTGTACTCACGGATGAAAGCACCTCTGCCTGAAGAGTCACCCGAGATGGTGTTCCTCCTGGATGTCGACTTTCAGGGTGCTCTGGAAATTTCTGCGCCAGTGGGCCGGAGGCTGAGATCGCTGAGCAGCCCGAAGGATTTCAGAAGTGGATGAGTTTGAGCATGCCACGGCACATGCCACGGCACATCAGGCTTCGAGTGGCTGTCTTCTTTGGTGCAGAAACAACCGGGAGCACCTTACAATGCCCCCGTCTCGGTCTTCACGGGGGAACACAGCTGAATTCATGTCGACTGTGTGCAGGAGACGTACACCTTCCAGAACTTACCAGAGGCCCTGAAGAGTTCTTAACAGGGAGATCACAGTGCGTGGGCTCTCGCTTGGCAGGTCAGTTCCAGCTCGCAAGGTGTGAAGCCCAGGTTTTGACTTCGTGAGAGCTCTTGAGATCTGTGCGTCCGAGCTTGCCAGCGACGCATTCTCGCACACGGCGAGAAGCGCCGATTAATTATTCTTGTGGCTGAGGAGCAATGCTGCGCTTTCTGGAAACGACATTCCTCAAGAACGTCCGCTACGGCTTCGAGGCCGATGCTTGGGAGCTGGTCGAGCGGCAAGTAGCTGTATCGCAACTTGCCATCTTGAGCCGGTCGCTGCGAGTGAGCCGGTGAGCCAGAAGATGCAGTCTCTCGAAGTGCCGCAGCCAGGCTCCTATATACGTGCCTGACGTTGGCCCCGTCACAAGCTTGTCGGCGCCGCTTGGGCTTCGAATCACAGTCGGGAGACAAGTCCTGTTTGGCGAGCCAGCATTGCAGCATGTTGCAGTGTTCTGCCCTGCCGCTCAGGTTTTACATCAGCCTTTTAGTCGCAGATCCTCTCGGCCGAGACCTCTTCTTTTAAACGTCTGATTTGGAGCTGCGGCGACTCACCGTCAGGTCCTGCGCTTCCAGAAGGCATAAGCTCCGTCGTCTCCGCCCCAGCTGCTAGGCTGGTGGGTGCCAGCACATCTGTGATGGCCCAATCTTAGATCTCAAGGAGACATGCTAAAAGCAGGGAGTATTCAGCACCTCGTCCGTGCCTCGCGTCATCTTAGGCCCTCTGAGTTCCAGCGTAGAGTGTGGATCCACGCGCAGTCTGCAGTTTGTGGCCATCAGTTCTGTTTCCCGAATCCGCACGAGCTTTGGCTTAACCGGCGTCTTATTCGCAGAAGCCCAAAAGGTGTTCGCGGATCCCGTCCGGGCAATCGTTGACTCGATGGCGAGGGTCGGTGGCTTAACAGCGGCGCAAGTCTTTAGTTGGGACACCGCGGAATCATGATTGCGTGACGTTGCTCTGAGTCCTCCAACAAACTGCCGGGAACGACTGCTGAGCTGATGCTGAAGGCATTCTGTTACTGTGTACTAATGTTGAAAACTGCTGATGCTTCGGGCTGTTGCGAGTTCCAGTTCTTAAGTGCAGGTGTAGCCTTTCGCCGATAGCCGCTATAGCTAGCCCTTATGCAAATGGTCATATAAAAGCAGCGCTCCAGCACCAGCTGCGGGCTCTGACGGCTCTAATTTTTCGTGCCTGCCCCGTGCCAGCTTCGCATCGCCACGATGGTGGAGATGCCTTCCGTGCTTGAGATCACGATGCCTCCGGGATACTCTCCCCTCCCAGGCCAGGGACACCGGAGACCGCAAAGGGTCAAAGGGTCACTAGCTCCGCACTCATTGGTGCAGGCACGAACAGGGATCAGTCATAGCTGCAGGATCACATGACGCCGGAGCTGCATAGTTTGACACTTTTGCTCCATTCATTCAGCACTCCGATATGACTGTATGACGTGCGACAGCGAGAGAGGTAGCTTCGTCTTGCTTGGTACCCGTTCTCTTGCAGCAGTGACGGGAAGTGCTCAAGAGGGACTTGAAGGCACCCGTTGTGTAGCCGCTAGCCACTGTAAGCTGTTGACAGACCAGGTGGGCAGTGTGGCAAAAGGCTGGGACTGCTTTGGTTCTGCGACAGCTCCAGGAGAGAGTTGTTCTGATCTGCGTCGTAATGAGGCCATGGCCTGGCCAACTGGAATTCAGGCCGAAGGGCGGAAGGGCAGCTTTCTGATAGTTTCCGTGCGCCCTTCAGACAGTCAAGATTCCATTGCCCCGCCAGTGACACAAGCCCGATCGGCTTGTCAACATGCAGCTTCGAGCGCGATGTCGCAGCCATCACTTACGAGCAGAAGGAGGCCCAGCAATGCAACGCACAGAGTCCGACGGTGGCATATGAGTCAACCGCTCAGTATGACGTCTTCCGCATCCGGATCACGCCGATGGATTCGTTTCCACTGATGCCTGGGCAGGGTCCTGGGTCCTGGGATTGTATTGCCAGCACTGTGCATACGGCAGAAAACCCACGCATTCACATACGTGCTGTTTGGCTACAGTTGACCCCAGGCTCGTTCAGTTTCGCATCGATGCTGCGACCTGAGCCGCGGCAACGTTTTCACTGCCGAAACAGATTAACTGCTCTGGGGGCAAGGGACACCGATTAGTCTGTGCCTTCACGTAGAAGTCTGATGCCACAGAATTCGGCTTGCTGAGATAATTAATCCTCCGGGAGAGCTGTCGTCTTTCTACATCGAGAACGAGCCTGCGCCCGGGCACGTGTCTCAGTGACTCAAGCGTGTCTGCAGAGCTTCGCATGGCCTTCACTCGCAGCACGGCATGGTCAAGCACAGTTACTTTTTCTTGCGCAGTTATGTAAGCATCCATACCCACCCAGTTTCCTGACTGCTACCTTGCTATACATGTTCAGGGCTCGAATCTGCGGCCCGGCCTGTTGGAGATTTCAGACTCAGATGCCGGGTTCTCGGTGGAGAAAGGAAGCAGCAGCTCTTGTGCAGGCAAGTCCTGCTCTTTCGTTTGTGTTTGCTTCGGGATCTGTAAATGTGTGACATCCTGTCGCTGCTGCTTGAAGAGTAGCTGCCGTGCCATCGCCTCCGGAACATGTGTTGGACCCCAGGTCTACAGGGGAATTGATCGACGCACCTCAGACAGTGGCCTCGGAACCGCCACCCTTTGCCACGGGCCAAGGATCGTGTCCTGCAGTGGTACGGACAGCTCACAGCGAGCGCTAGAAAAAAAACATAGGTAGCAGGGTTTTGATTGGATTTACTCCTTGTGCAAGCATGGCGCCTCCAAGGAGATGGCCTTGGGTGGGCCGCATCCTCGGAGCTGCGCTAGGGAGGATACGCTTGAAAACTCCTTCTTTTCGCGGAGGATAATGCAGATATGGCCGCCCGGGCGGAATGATCGGCCAAACAAGAACAGCAGGCCATTCCCTAATCCTCATTATGTATATAGGCTGTTGGATGCACTATGATGCACTGCTTCTTTGTCACTCTTGCACTTCCCGTACGATTGTGGCCATGAGTGACCTGCTGCAAGGCTTATTTTCCACTTCAGCCTTGGCACCGCTGGCCCGTACCGTGCAGGGGACTGTGTGTTGTTGCCGTTGCCGCACGCTTGTATTGCTTGGTAGGGCCGGGCACATGCCCGGTTGTCACATCAAGAGAGGACATGATGCCTGCCGGCGAGCTTGAGCTGGTTGGACCACCTGGTACAGCACAGACCTGAGAAGCGTCGGTGAGGATCGGACTAATTGGAGACCGGCAGAGATGCATTAGACCTTGCTCGCACTGATCTGAAAGATTGTCACGGTGGCTCAGATAATTCCGACGCGCTGTTATCATCTGGTTGAGCCGCGGCCCTGAGATTCACCGCAGTAGGTGCAAGTTAATCTGCGGCCTGACCAGGGTCGCACCTCGCATGGTGCTTGACTTCATACTAGTACGAAGCACCTCAGGACTCGGGTCGTGAACCTTTTCGGGAGTGTCTTCAACGCGACACAGCTGGGGGACCTCCTGGCTTGATGTTGCGACGGGGGAGCGGTGCTCGGGGTGTCTAGAGGAGGTGGCTCAAACGTGATCTTCCTATCCTCTGTCATGTCCACATTTTCATTCCTGGCCTTTCCGTATCGTCGGTCTTTGGGTTATCCGCACAGTGCGCGGAGCTGTGTGAGACTCTCTGGTGCGGACTATGCAGGTGATGTGATCTGAAACAAGTGGTTTATAGCGCTTCTGGTTCGGGACGGCCTGAGACCTGTTTCTGTCGTACATTTTCTGTCTTCGAGGAAGTGCCAGACACAGATAGTTGTGAGGATCCTACAGCTTCCAGCCTTGAAAAATTGGAAAGTGTGAAACACCCATTTCTCTTACGACCTCATGCTCCACAAGGAAGCGTTAGAAGGTTCTCTTGACAAGTTGGGCTGTCAGACTTGGGCTCCTTTGTGCCGCCAGGTGAATGTCTGGGACCCCAACTCTCCAGAGCCCACGGCATGTTTGGAGAACCAGTGCCTTGATTCCGGGGCAGTGCCTTTGCAGCAGGTCACCGGCTGCGAGGGCAACGGCGAGACAGCCCTGATCTCCTTGGCCCGCATCCCGGAGAAAGACGCTGAACGTGCCCCATGTCCGTCATAATGCTGCGATGCAGTCTCCTGGTCTGGTCGCCTCCTATGTCTATGCGCGATCACCTGAGAGCTGTTCCTGTTGACACACTGAGCCTCTGAACAGAGCCTCGCTGGCAGTGACTCAGCCCATGAGGTTCCGCATCGACATCGTGAATCCGGGCATCCAGACGGCTTCCAACTTCTGGACCATGACGCTCTTGGACCACTTTGCACAGCCAATACCTTCATTCAATCTCTGGGCCTTCCCTGAAATTTCCGTATCGAGCCTGGCTCGGAACTCTCGTCCCAGCTGCTACCAGGGTGATTGCGTCGGGGCCGGGGCAGGGGTGGCCATCCCTGTTCAGCTAGCCCTCCGGACGCAGAATGTTGTGTCGACCAGCGGACAAATGATTATCACTGCGCCTCTGGAATTTGGCTTCGACCCAGTTGCAAACGCACCTCTCATCGAGGGAGACAAGCAGACTCCTTGCTTAATTCGCGAGTACGAAAACCACAACATGTCGGCGCTCCCCTACACCTGGCGGATGGCAGAGACTGTGGCTGCAAGAGCTTGATGCAGCATGTCCTCGTGTCTTTCGGACGGAAGTTAGAGCTGCATACTGAGGAGCGGGATTGCGTGATCGTGGATCGAGGTAATCCACTTGACGGCACTGGGACCGGAGATACTCGCACGGTGCCTTGCCTGCCTCCATCTTCCTGCTGGCTGGGTTCCCACGGTGCTGCTTGCATACCGGGCTGGCGAAGGTCCGCATCATCGTTCGCTACCAATTCAACCCGGCTGATCTCAGACCACCCAAGGCAGACTGCGGACTAGCGAATGTGACCTGTGCCTGACAGTGAGTGTGCGGTCGAAAGCTTGTGACTGAGGAGAGCAAGCAAGTCAGAGTGAGGGAGAGACTGAGAAGGTCCGTGTTTCCTGCATGCTGCCGTCTTGTGACAGGCATTTCGCCCGAATGCAACCTTCGTCATTTACTTCTGGATCCATCCTCCAATGACATTTCGTCCACCAGAGGCACGTCGCAATGTGCAGACTCGTGTGCATGGGACGGCAGCAGCACTGTACATCCCTTACTTAACTTACTACTTCCAGCATCCAACGATCCGCCTGGTGGATGGTGGAATGTATGCGGAACGTGTGCAATGTCCAACAAGAACTCGCCTTGCACAGGGTTTCGCTGGCAAGCCACGCTTTGAAAAACTAACCAAAACACTTGCTTCTTGCTCTTAGCCCCTCATATCCAGGTCCCAGCTGCCACCTTTGCCTGCGACATCCTGCGACATGCATGACACAAGCACTCGTCCTTGACTCCGAGAGCTGGGGGGGCAGCCAAAACGTGTACTGTTTGCTCCAGGCCTGGATGCTTGAAAGCTTCAGCCCGACTGGGGAAGAGCTGGATATTGGCAGCGCGATGGGCTGGGAGGCCTTGCATTTCAACATGAGCCACGGTGACTGGGTCTGCTTTGCCTGAAAGTTCTGGAAAAAATGACCGGCCATCCCATGATCACACTTGCTCAGAAGGACGCAGGGCATGCCAAGTCGCGTCCCCTGCATGCAGGTAAGACGGGTGATGACTCTGTTTGAGCACAGTAACACCGGGGGCATCAACCAGTATCCTGGCCTCCAAAGGATTTGATGTCTAGCTCTTCTTTCGAAGTATTCTGCTGACTTTCAGCTTCCCTGAGCGTGTGTGGCATCGCACACTCGGCGGCAACGCAAGGTTTACGCAGACCATTACTCCTGCAGTGTCTGAGCTGCATGTTTAGAATGGGCAATGGCAGTACTTCTCAACGAGCTTTTTTTGCAAACTCGTTCTGACTGAAAGCTGAACTTGAGGACAGCGGTTGCAGTCAAGTGATGACAATGGCTGTCCTTGACGAACCTTGCTATTGGTGCAGCCCCTGGCCCAAGGTGACTGCTGGAAATGCTTTGGTTCCCAACTTTGCACGAGTCCTACTTCCCTTGACCTTCTCACAATGCTAGCTCATGACGGCTACTGATCCGTCACAATTCGCACCGCTCGCCGAACCTAGGTCATTGACTTTGTCCTGCCGGCGAATGCATGGCTCCAGGACAGACTTGCCTAGAGCCTCAGGCACCGAAACGCGTGTGCTGATGATTTGTCTTCATACACGATCTCCGATGCCAAGCCGCATGCCGCCGCGTGGCCAAGGTCTTGACGGCACCGAGGAACTTTCAGCTTCAGCTCGGATTCATGGATGCCAATTCGCGCGGTGCTTGAAGCTGTCTTGTGTGCTCTAGTGACTCTAGTAGCCGCGATGAGAAGAGATGAGTCGCCCGGAACTGGCTCAGGCCAACGCGGAGCGTAGGAGCAGTTGAACTGAAAATGACAGGGGCACTCCAAACGTCGTGCTCTTATATATACCAAAGCAGAGCTTTGCAAGTGACCATCTGATCTAGAATGTCGATGTAGGCCAGCGAACATGGCGTCTGCAAGCGATAGGAGTGGAGACGAAGAGCCTGGCCTCTGGAGTCTCTTAACGCTCTTTCCGTTCTGCTACGTGCAGAGCAGTGCTTCTGTGGTCGGCGAGACGAAGGTAGTCCACCTTCGCAGTGATGTGCCGGATCATTTGCCAAAGCCATCGCACGACCTTGCAGAACATGACACAATCGACACTACGCTCGGGCCCAGCCGCGACAAGCCAAAGTCCCAGCCCAACCTAATGACTCCGCGGCAGCACTGCTTCAAAGAGGCCGTCCAGCTGCCGAAGCTTCTCAGATACCCATCTTTACCCAAAGACTTCTTTATGGAGGATGGGAATGAGGAACAGCACGAGAAGGAGCTTCTGCTGAAGATGTTCCAGGATTTCACCTTGGACATGCACAGGGGCAGATACTTGACGCAGCTGGGTTCGAGCCAAGACTACTCCGTCATACATTGCATCCCGGCAGAGTTGAGCAGTTTGCCTCTGTGTGGCAGCACCTAAACCTCCCCTTCCTGTGAGAAAGATGCTGCGGCCACGTTTCCATGTGCTCTTCGATGCTTTCTGAGGTCAGGTGATGGACGACCTCCAGACACTAAAAGTGGATCAAGGGAGACCTAGCTTTGTTTCAGCAGGCATGATCGTCACAGTCTGCAGCTGCCGTGCCGTTAGTGCTTGCCAAATCAGTGACTGACTATGCGAGGAACGGATGCATCATCGAGTTCCCCTTGACGGGCGTCTCCAAGGTGTATCGCATTGTGACACTCTGCTTTATTGAGATGGTTCAATGCCAGCGACAGCGCGCACCTACATCGAAATTCCAGAGTATAGGACAGTCTAGATACGCAGAACATGCTCTGCCATGCTCTGCCTCGTTGTCGAGCTAGCTGGCTTTGGTCACGCCTACCTCTCTCTCGCTCTCTCTCCCTCCCGGGCTATGTGTATTTCTTCTTTTCGCTTGGACTGCTTGCCTCGTCGACCCGGGTCATTGCAGTCATGATCGCCAATCTCTGGCTTGCAGAGCCGGCAGAAAGCATCTCTGCTTGCTTTGCACCTCCGGCTGTTCCTGCTTTTCGTTGCTCTGCTCCACCATCCTCCTGCTTCGCAGACAAGTTGTCCCGTGGTGCTTCGCAGCATCGTGCACAGAGACGCGACTATAAGCAGAATGTCGAAGATCACAGCACTGCGCACTCCCAGCAACAGCCATGAGCCACCGCTGAAGGAAGACGGATGAGCGTTTGCTGAGCACTTCAACAACGACCACCTCGGTGAACGTTGTGCCTGGCTTGAGAGCAGTCGCAGTGTTGTGCGAAATGTCGCTGCTCCTGTCCTCCTCGATTTCTCTGAGGAGCACATAGTGGTTGTGGAATTTATGCGTCGGAAGTTTCTTGGCCGCAGAGCTCATGAACTGGGGGAGCGAGCCGAGCGTGCCCGTGCCAGGCTGGCATTCGTCTTCGCGGAAGTGGCCGAAGCCCAGCGCTTCTTAATCTGCATCGAACTCCTTATCAGACGAGCTCAGGATCCATGCAATACCCCGCTACACTCCAATCCTCTTTGATCCAGGGTTTGCTCCGACTGTAGCTTCAATGTCAGTTTCGGAATTCCCTTGGTGAAGCCGCTTGCCATTCTCAGAGCTACACGTGTGCACAAGCATGGACTACATCTTCTCACTGGACTGTCGCTTGTCGAGTCGGTAGCCACCGAGAGTGCCCCTTGGCAGTGTAGAGCCACCTTGGGTTTTGGATGCGCAGCTGGCAGGAGACGCGCGAGGCGAATCCTTTGGATGGGCCTTTGCGTGTACAGGCCAGGTGATCAAGCTGAAAGGGGTACTGTGGCACTGCCCCACATGGCAGGGTGGTAGTAGTGGTGGTGGTGGTAGCAGTAGAAGTAGGAGTAGGAGTAGGAGTAGGAGTAGGAGTAGGAGTAGGAGTAGGAGTAGGAGTAGGAGCAGGAGTAGGAGTAGGAGTAGCAGTAGGAGCAGGAGTAGGAG